AAGAGGCAGGCATAGCTTGGGCCCATGCGGGTTCCCATGGCCATCCCCTTCGTCTGTTGGAAGTGGGAGGAGTTGAAGGAGAAGTTGTTAAGGGTAAGGATGAGTTTGGTTCAGCAGATGAGGGTGTCAGTGGAGGGGGACTGGTCAGGCCTGTGGGAGAGGAAGAAGCAGAGGGCATTTTGATGCATTTTGGAAGATCCAGTTCAAGAGCGAACTATACGGTAAATGGAAAAGCCCTGGGGAAAATTGATGCACAGAGAGATCTGGGTGTTCAGGTCTATTGTACCCTGAAGGTGACAACGCATGTCGATAGAGTGGTCAAGAAGGCATACGGCATGCTTTCATTCATTGGACAGGGTATTGAGTACAAGACTTGGCAGGTCATGTTACAGTTGTATAGGACTTTGGTTCGACCACATTTGGAATACTGCGTCCAGTTCTGGTCGCCACATTACCAAAAGGATGTGGATGCTTTGGAGAGGGTGCAGAGGAGGTTCACCAGGATGTTACCTGGTATGGAGGGTGCTAGCTATGAAGAGACGTTGAGTAGATTAGGATTATTTACATTAGAAAGACGGAGGTTGAGGGGGGACCTGATTGAGGTCTACAAAATCATGAGAGGTATAGACAGGGTGGATAGCAAGAAGCTTTTTCCCAGAGTGGGGGAGTCAATTACTAGGGGTCACAATTTCAAGGTGAGAGGGGAAAGTTTAAGGGAGATATGTGTGGAAAGTTCTTTACACAGAGGGTGGTGGGTGCCTGGAACACGTTGCCAGCGGAGGTGGTAGAGGCGGGCACGATGGTGTCATTTAAGATGTATCTAGACAGATACATGAATGGGCAGGGAGCAGAGGGATACAGATCCTTGGAAAATAGGCAACAGGTTTAGATAGAGGATCTGGATCAGTGCAGGCTTGGAGGGCCTAAGGGCCTGTTCCTGTGCTGTAATTTTCTTTGTTCTCCACATGGGGGATACAAGTGTACAGGGATGTGCTCTGTACGCGACAAACGACAACACCTTCCGGTTGCCAACCATTTTAACTCGATCCACACCCCCACACCACCCCACTCCCTGGTGACATGTCAATCCTGGGCCTCCTCCAGTGTCACAATGACACCACCCGCATATTACGCCTTGGCAGCCTACAGCCCAATGGCCTAAACATGGAATTCACCAGTTTTAAAATCTCCCCACCCCTGGCCTCATCCCACGTCCAACCTTCCCTCTCATCCCCACTTCCTTGACCTGACACAACCTGTCCATCTTTTCTCCCACCTACCCATCCCCACCCTTCCCACTGACCAATCCCCTACCTGCAATCACCTATCACCATCCCACCTACCTTCACCAGTGCCATCCCTCGTCTCTCTATGTCTGAGCTCCCTTCCCCCGCTTCATTTCTGAAGGGTCCCGACCCGAAACTTCGACTTTCCTGCTTCTCTGGTGCTGCCAGGCCTGCTGTGTTCCTCCAGTTCCACACTGTGTTATCACTGACTCCAGCATCTGCAGTTCTTGCTATCTCTGGACACACTAGTGCTGTTTTCTCTGGAGTGGCGAAGGCTGAAGGGAGACCTTACGGAAGTCTATAACATTATGAGAGGCACAGATATGGTTGACAGTCAGAATCATTTTCCCAGAGTTGAAATGTCTAATATTGGGAGGCGTGCATTTATGGTGAGAGGGGGTAAGTTCAAAGGAGAGGTGAGGGGCAAGTGTTTTTACACTGAGAGTGCTAGGAGTCTGGAATGTGCTGCCAAGGGGAGTAGTGGAGGCAGACATGATAGGGGCATTTCAGGGGCTTTTAGATAGCCACATGAATAAGCAAGGAATGGAGGGATATGGATCATGGGCAGGCAGAAGGGATTAGTTTAATTTGGTGTCATGTTCGACGCAACATTGTGGGCCGAATGGCCTGTTCCTGTGCTGTACTTGTCTATGTGCTATGTACAATTGTCCTGTACGAAACCCGCACTGCACTTGACAAAACTGTGGTTGAACGTTAAGATCAACACAGACCACGGAAAGGGTTCAGAAAAGATTTACAAGGATGTTACTGGGGTTGGAGGGTTTGAGCTAAAGGGAAAGGCTGAATAGGCTGGGGCTATTTTCCCCAGAGTGTTGGAGGCTGAGGGGTGACCATATAGAGGTTTATAAAATCATGAGGGGCTTGGATAGGGTGCACAGTCAAGGTTTTTTTGCCCAGGGTGGGGGAGTCCAAAACTAGAGGGCATAGGTTTAAGGTGAGAGGGGCAGGATTTAAAAGGGACCTGAGGGGCAATGTTTTCACACAGAGGGTGACTCATGTATGCAATGAGCTGCCAGAGGAAGTGGTGGAGGCGAGTACAATTACAATATTTAAAAGGCATTTGATGGGTACGTGACTAGGAAGGGTTTAGAGGGATATGGGCCAAATGCTGGCAAATGGGACTAGAATAATTTAGGATATTTGGTCAGCTTGGACGAGTTGAACCGAAGGGTCTGTTTCCGTGCTGTACAACTCTATAACACTATGGCATATTACCCCATACTCCACGGAACAGAGTTTTCTTCTCTCCTGCTTGTACATACTGTGCTTGAAAAAGACTTGCATTTATGTGGCACCTTTCACAAACCTCAGAAAATTGCATAATACTTAAGCTAACGAAGAACAGCCACTGTTGTAGTGCGGGAAGTGTATCAACCAACATGTGCACACGTAGCTCCCACAGACAGTAATGTGATAATGACCAGATAATCCATTGATTGAGGAGTAAATATTGGACAGGACACTGGATTGATGTCTCCTATGAAGTAATGCCACAGAGTCTCTGAATCAACGTGCCAGGGCAGATGGGGCTTCTGTGTGACATCTCATCTGAAGGACAGCACCTCCAATGGTACCAAACTCCCTTTATCCCACACTGGAGCGTCAACCTGGATTGGGAGGTCAACTCTCTCCAGCGGGAATCAAACCAACTTCAGACAGGCAAATAAACACACCTCATTAAGACAAAAGAAACCGCTGCACCTAAATACCCATTTACGGTGCCCCTTTACAGGTGACAAAGCTGTTATTTGTTGCTTTTATGAAAGCAGAATTGCGTTTTAATAGGACTCCAAATCACCTGGACACCCTGAATATTGAAGTTGCTACGAAGAGAAAAAAGGATTCGACAACAAAACATTTTATTGCGCACCCATCTTCTGTGGTCATGTATATAATCAATAGTACAACTTGCACAACAATATTACACTATTACAGTGTGAAATATTTTTGATGTATAATTAGAAGGCAGGAACTGCAAGGACACACTGCCTGGACAATGATTTGTTAGAAATAAGCAAACAACCCCCTTGCTCATTGTGTGTGGTCTGTTTATTTCAAAACATGGCCCCTTTTGAGATTTTTTGAGCAGCCTACCTGTTACCTTCATGACTGCTGAGTCACTTCAGTCCCAGGTCGTGAGAAGAGTCTGGGGATAGAACTTGCATTTACTCAATGGCCCAACCTGCCTCACAGTTAACAAAATGCAGTCACTTGTGAAACATGGGAAGCAAGCAGTCAATGTACGCACAGCAAGATCCCACATTGAGCAGTGAGAGAAATGACTGCGCCATCTGTTTCAGTGACGCTGGTTAAAGGGGGCATCCTGTTGGCCAGTTCACCTCTTCGAAATTACACCCTGAGATCTTTTACATTTGGCATGGGGGCAGATGGGGTTTCAGCTTGGAATCTCACTCTGAAAGAAGGGACTTCTGACAGTGCGGCTTTCCTGCTGTAACTCCAATGCTGGGAACCCTTCGCCCTGTATGACCAACATTTTGACAGAGCCTTGCAATTCCTACCTATATATGCATATATAATACATACATAAGCACATAAATATGTATATACAGAACATTGTAAATAACCCCGTGATCTCTGAGGTAAAGTTAAAGGTCCCTAGTGACAGAGTACTTTGTCAATATTTTAGTCTTGTAATCTTGGAATGTTCTTCAGTGCAGAGAGAGGACAGCACCATCACCTACACCAGCTAAGCTGAAGGTATACAAGGTCACAGCTGCATTTACATCATATGGCTAAACCAAGTGTAACAGTTACAATAATGGCCAAGCAACCCTGAGGCCACGCGTGGTAAATCCTTTGCATTATGGGCAAAATTCACTTTATTAAAATCCGTAGGCTGATGCCAAGAAATAACATCGCCGAGGCAAGCTGCTGGCTTGGGGAGATGGTGACATTTTAGTAATGTCACGGGACAGTAATCCAGAGGCCCAGGCTCTGGGAACATGGGTTCAAATCCCATTATGGCGGCTGCTGGGATACAAATTTAATTCATTAATTGAGGTTGGTTGGCTCGCCGAGCTGTTTTGTTGTTCCGCAGATGTTTCGTTACTGTGCTGGGTAACATCCTCAGTGCAGCCTCTGATGAAGCGTCGGTGTGTTTTCCCGCCTGGTTTTTAAACTCTGGGGTCCGTTGCGATGGATTGCCTCACTTCCGGGTTTCCTCCG